TCTATCTATCTATCTATCTATCATCTATCTATCTATCTATCTATCACTGATATCTACATTCTATCTATCATTGATATCATCCATCCATTATCTATTTATATCTATCCATCCATCCAGCCATTTATCACTGATATCCTATCTATCCATCCATCTATCTGTCTATCATGTGTCTATCTCTCTTTACCTATCTACCTAGCGATATATCTCTACCTCTGGACGGAGAAAACAGGTAGAACAATAGATCGAGGGGGACAGAAGGGAAGATAATGAGCACAGATATACTGTAGCATCTTTCAACGAATCAGAACTCAAGGACAAAGAGCAAACGTAGGAAAGAGGCTGGAGAAGCGTGAGAGAAACCCCATTACGGCTCTCCCTTCCGTCACCTTCAGTCCACGCCCGGCCGGCCGTCTCCATGGAAACCACCCGCGTGCTTCTCAGCGACCGTTCTTCCTCCGGTCGCGTGAGGCCTTCCTCGCGCGGGTTGCCCCCTCTTCCTCGGAGCGGCGCTTCATTCGCCAGGCGGCTCCTCTTCGGAAGGAGACGGTTTTGATTTTAGGGGCGGCGGCAGCAGCAGCAGCAGCGGTTGCGTTCATGTCGCGAAGGCGCGTCTCCGCCAGCCCGGAGCTGAGCTGGCGACAGGATCAGGCACTGAGCACCACCATGCGTATCGTGCGGGAGCTGGGCCCCACCGCTTTCATCCTGCAGGAGGAAGACCGGAGGGCGGCGGAGCTCAGGGTAGAAGAGGGGAGAGGGAGGCGGAGGGCAAAGGCATGGATGGGACCCTCATCCCCGTTGACGCAGCTCGGGAAGGCGCAGAGGGCTCGCGTGGGTGTGGATGCCAGATGAAGTATTGGGCTTTGCATTCTTTTCAAGAGACCAGAATTTATCTCTTGCAAAGCCAACCCTCCAACCCTCTTTTAGTTTCCAACTAATTTTAAAATTAAAACCATCTCTTAGTGGCACCACTGCATCACTACAACACACAAACTCCCAGATTTGGGATGTTTTAACTGTGAGTGGAGAATACCTCCGAGCATGCCTTTTGCTCACAGTAGAGTTAATATCTTAGTTCAACATGTTCCCTTCCCTTAGAAATGCCTTGAGGCCTTGAAAGTGAAGGAAACGCTGCCCAAACACTGCACCTCATTATTATTATTATTATTATTATTATTATTATTATTATTATTATTATTATTATTATTATTATT